TTGCCATACCCGGCGAGTGTCACATGAAAACCAGCTTAGGTGAGAGGGAGGGGGTTGGAGGGGGGGGGGGTCTTGTTATCATATTTCAGATGGTAAGAAATCGTTAGCAGCGCTCGAGGCTTTACTCTTGCGCGATGATTGATGGAAACGAGTAATAACTGAAAAAACTCTGAAGCCACGTTTGATAGGGAGATATCATATATATATATATATATATATATATATATATATATATATATATATATATATATATATATATTATATATATATGTGTGTGTGTGTGTGTGTGTGTACACACACACACACACACACACACACACACACACACACACACACACACACACACACACACACACACACACACACACACACACACACACATACCTCACAGTTATGTGTGCTTGTGCGTTTGTTTCCTCACTCTAAGAGGTGAAGACTGAATAATTTGAAAAAAAGTAGTTTTCGCAATAGTAACACTATTGATAAGAAAAATAATGACAGCATTGATGATATTGATTATCTGTTTCCTTATATATAATTCTTGCAATATTTTGGTAACAAACATGAATGGCTGCAATAACTTTTCAGCATTTTTACTCCACTCCCTTACGCAGGCCGTAATTTTGCAGTACAAGTTGTTTGATAAATGCACAGGTCTTAGTACAGAGAATTTTCTTTTTTTTCGTATATGCGCCGACGTAGATAAAGCAAGTGCGAAGTGCTATTATTGATAAAAATCAAGGTAAGTCATTCCAGTATATAATGAGGATGTGTGTTGTCATTTAGGCTCACTCTGTGATTTGTGATTTGAAAATGCACCGCGATCTCCTTCCGTCCATTGCAGCAACTCGCCAAAGCTTCTTGTGTGCAGGTCCGATTTGAGCAGCAACTTCACCGCTGTGTCCTAGTTAACCTCTTGTTTTATGATAAAGGAAGACGTTAGTTTTGTATACGTGTCAAAGTGTTCCGTGTTAGTTGGGTATTGGAGAAGACATCATTTCGTTTGGTTTTATTAAGGGAAATGATATGAGATTCGGTAATATAAGGAGGTCAGTGTGTGTTGTTTTTAGGCCTTGACCCTAAGTATTCTTTGTGTAGATATCGGCTGTATCATAGCATAGATAGTAACAATATCCATGATAAGGATAGTAATAGCATTTAGCATAACTGAAGCCTCCAACTCATTTCACTTCGAAGACAGTGGAGCAAAGTTGTGATAATTTCCTCATTTTCATTCCAATTGGAAATTGGACTACCGCGTTTCCTTTTACTTATGTGTGGGTATTTTAATCATATCAGATTTATGGTTTCTATTGCAAATATTTTGAGTAGCATCTTGGTTTGTTTGAGCTCATTCCTTTAAAAGAGCCAATATACCTACATGTCTACTTATTTTCCCTTCTTGCTCTTTATTCTTAGAAACCGCAAGAGTTGCATTTATTGAAAGAATAAAAAAAATCTGTAAATATCTGCAAAAACGGAAGGCGAAAGAATGTTCTGACAAAGTAGGCTATGGAGATGGAACGTAAAGTGGTTTTCATACTTAGACAAAGTAGCACTCACTTCCTCCTGGAATTTATTGTGCTGCGTCTTCCCGTCCTTTGTTGTTCGTGTTTGATGTATAAAGTAAGTCCATTATTTTTTTACACCAAGAAATGTTAATCTAGAGAGTGCGGACGTCCAAACATTTTTGATGTGCGTGGTAAAGAAACTACCGATATAAATGTGAGTGTTTTTGTTTGTCTGTGTGTGTGTTTGCTTGCGTGTTTTTATGTATGTGTATTTTTGTGTGGACGCATATATATATGGATACATGTACTCAAATGATACCAATTCCTTTAAAGAAAGATACAAAGGCTCTAATGAGGGAACGACTATACGGCCCTTTGAGACAAATCGGATTCTGATCAACCAGGCCTTCACAGCCACACACTAACCCATAGGTATAGGAAGTGTTAGTGACTACGCTTGTTTATCATGGAAGGGCATTTGACCCCTAGAAATGGTAGCTTTGTTAGGATTGTTAACCAAGGTACTGAGGAGTCCTATTGCAGAATTGTGGAAGATATGCAAGTGCAGAATAACAACTGTCGACCCCATGCAGGAACCCATGAGATTCCAGCTAAAAAATGGCTTGGCGAGGCGATGCCATTTCATTAGAATGATTTACCGCGGGCTTAGTACTGGGGACGAAGAGGAGGTAAAGTAGCATTTGTTTAATAAACACATTGGATAGTGTTGAAAGAACGAACAGGAAAAGTGTTGAACAAATGAGTTCACTTTGAACAAATGTTGAATGATAAAGTACTAAGAGTAGTCAATGGGCATATGTCCTTAGGATAACTCGCACAGACACACCTGAAAGTGAAATTAAGTTATGGATAAGGCTAGGTTGAAATGCTTTTGGTAGACACACAAACATATTACGATTTACGATCTAAGACGAAAATTCCGAAGTCAAAGGTTGATATTGGGAATTAACATAATTAACATAAGAGACAGGAAGACAATTGCGTGTCATAGGTAAGAGACCAAAGTGGACAATGTAATGAAGTGCCGTATATGCAGGATAAAGGACCACAGATGGATTAAGAAGGGAGTTAGATTACGACGTACCAAACTCAAGGAGGCTAAGGGGCAAAATTGATGATTAAGGGGAAATGGTGAAGTTAGGGGGAGGGAATTAGGAACAAAGGCGGTAAAACCAGAACGACTGCAAGGAATTAGGTGAGTTTTATGTCCTGGACTGGAAGGACACGGGATGTTAAGGATAGTTATCAAGACCATGAATATATCACTTCTATATGCTTCGCTGACTGTTATTTTAGAAAAAAATACATTCAGCTTTTCGACTGAATTAGTATCAAAGGTTCACCATTTTATAGTATAGGTACATAACCCAAGCCTTCTTTCCCTATTTTCTAATACTTACAATGAAAACAGTAATAAAAAAGCAGGTATGTCACCATGAAAATTAAACAATAATAAAAAAACAGGTATGTCACCATGAAAATTAAACAATAATAAAAAAACAGGTATGTCACCATGAAAATTAAACAATAAGACGAATTGTTCACGAGTGCGTGAATTGTCATGCTCTGCGCGACAAAAAAGGCCTTCCGAGAATCCACACACCTTACTCGTATTTGTTATTAACGGAAAGGAAATTTGAGCAATGTCTTCTGGGAATATTTGTTGGGCTGGTAACCGCATGCAACCCAACCTTGGTCGCTCTCTCCTTCTGCCTCAGTTTTTTTCCTTTCTGTCTGTCACTTACTCATTCCTTCCTTAAGTGTCAGGTCAGGTCATCTTCCCACTCCTCTTTCACTCTGTCTGTCTGTTTGTCTGTCTGTCTGTCTCTCCCTTCCTTCCTCTCTCTCTCTATTTCTCTCTCTCTCTCTCTCTCTCTCTCTCTACTCTCTCTCTCTCTCTCTCTCTCTCTTCTCTCTCTCTCTCTCTCTCTCTCTCTCTCTCTCTTCTCTCTCTCTCTCTCTCTCTCTCTCTCTCTCTCTCCTCTCCCTCTCTCTCTCTCTCTCTCTCTCTCTCTCTCTCTCTCTCTCTCTCTCTCTCTTCTCTCT